AAAAAAAAAAAAAAAAGTACCTAACAGTGTGGATGGTAGGTAACCAGTAATGTGAAGAAGAATGCTGGGAGATAAATATACATACAAATATGTTCATAATTGCATAGACTCTCTAGAAGGATATACATTGGAGGGAAGGGGACAATTTATCTTTTATACTATTTATTTCCTCTTTTTTCTTTTTTTTTTTCTTTTTTTGAAGATTTTATTTATTTATTTTCCCCCCAAAGCCCCAGTAGATAGTTGTATGTCGCAGTTGCACATCCTTCTAGTTGCTGTATGTGGGACGCAGCCTCAGCATGGCCAGAGAAGTGGTGCGTCAGTGCGCGCCCGGGATCCGAACCCGGGCCGCCAGCACCAGAGCGCGCGCACTTAACCGCTAAGCCACGGGGCCGGCCCCATCTCTTTTTTCTTTTTTCAACTATTCCCAAATTTTACCTTTTCAACTAAAAGAAGTATTTTTACAAGAAGAAGGTGGTAGTGGGCCACAGAGCAAGCTGAGCTGCAGAAGGTGGCTTTGACTACTTCACTGTCACCCCAAACCCCACTGAACTATATCCTCCAAACCCCTTCCATTCTCTCCATATCACCCTTGTTCCTGGCCCCGTGACTGTAGCCAGGACAGCCTGAAGTTCCCCTAGACACAGCTTCCAGGCAGGACCTTGCACACAGGAGGTGCTCAGCGTGCAGTGCTGGGTACATGCACCCCTGGCTCACTCAGTTAGCTCTCTCTCCTACTGCTCTGCACACACAGCCTGACCACACTGTGCCAAGGTCCACAGTTCCTACCAGCTGCACCATCACACACTGAAGACTGGCCGCTATGGGCCAGACACTGTGCTGGCGTGTTATAAGCTTCATCTCACTTAACTCTTGCAGTCGAGCTCCTGTGAGGTAGGCACTATAGCCATTCCTATTTTATAGGCTGGCCTACTATTATTGTTAAAATCTCTATAATGGCAAAATCTCTATTTCTGCCTCATAACTTGACAATAAAGGTTACATCCTATACTCCTATTGCACCTTATAATTTTTAAAGCAGTTTACACCCATTATCTCAGCTGATCTTCAAAACACACTCAGAGCAACAATGACTTGCCCTAGGACACGAAGGACTGCTGCAGCACCACACGTACCCAGCCCCATTACAGACAGTGCTGGCCAACCCTTTAGTTTTGAGAGCTTTACTTTTTAGCAATGGCAAGTACCAGGAGACAAGGGTGAGTAGACCAAAAGATTTCTGGGCCTGCCAGAGCAAAGCCAAAACCCAAGCAATTGAACAAAAAAGATCACTGCAACTGAGTGAGGTCTGGGCCTGTCTGGGCCCTCAGAGGTCACAGGTGGGAGCACGAACAGCAGGTCCATCGGTACCTTTAGTTCGCAGCACACAGTGGCTCTGCAGTAGTGGATGAAGTCCAGCACGGCCACTGCCCCCACACCCAGGCTCAGCAGCACACTGAGGTCGTCCACCAGCAGCACCGGGCACCTCCACGCAGCCTCCGCATTGTCCACAGGCTTCAGGGCCTCTCGCACAAACTCATACAGTGGCTGCAGGTTCTCAGCGTTGGCCTCCCTGGGACACAGGGCAAAAGTCACCAGAGAGTTCACTCTGGAAAAGTTTATTTGGGAACGAGCAGCTCCACAGGAAAGTTAGGGGGAGGCAAAGAACTGGATCCCAGTCCTTGGAAGCAAGGGGTTCACGATCTGGTTGGGAAAAAAAGGCATGCATGTGCACAAGAGTAAGCTGTACTTCAATTCAAATATTCCTTGAGGCCTACTAGGTACAAAGCACTGTGCTAGAAACTGGGGGACACAAAAATAAATAGCATGTGGGGCCCTTAAGAGACACCACACAGCCTCTCAATCCAAAAGCTGAAGGCATCTAGAAGATTAATCTGGACTGGGCAGGCAGGAGAAGTCTTCCTATGAGGTCATAATTGGGTATAAAAAGCTAAACAGCAGTTTAAGTGCCTTGGTGGTGAGGAGCAGTGGTCTAAGGGCTGCTTGTGCACATAAGAGATTTAACCTGTTTCTCACACAAGCTGGCCCAGCTATCTCCATCTCCCCAATGACTACCCTCCACAGGAATTTCCCAGCAACAGTGGAGGCTCAAAGAGCACCAGAGGACAGGCCCAGGCACCTGCCCACTGCCCCATGCTCCAGGGCTGAGCCCCGCTAACAGCAAGGATAACTCCCTGCAGCCTGGGCTCAGGTGTAACCAGGCCCATCATTCAGGCGAAGATACCCAGGTTCAGAGACGCAAAGGGCTGTGTGTGAGGCCACATGCACAGGGCCAGGGCACATGGCTTTTGGACTCCACCCTGCCTCCCAGCCACTGAATAAGGTTGAGTCTGAGAGAGGGCGCAACGGGGAGAGTTCCTGTATGGACTGCTTTGTGGTGGAGTAAGCACAACAACCAGGCAGGGAGTCTGCACAGAGCTGTTTATGGCTGATGCTCATAAAGGATGAGAAGGAGGAAAACTACTCTCAAATACCAAACCAGCAGTTGACAAACTTTTTCTCCAAGGGCCTGTTGAAATACCAGAGAAGTGTCTGGCTCCTGAAGCCACCTCTGTCCTCTCACACCTGAGGAAAAGGAATCACACAGCAACCCTGGTCTAGGCCCAGCTACCAGGAGTACACTTCTGGGCTGGGCTGCAGGCTGACTCACCTGAGAAACTGCAAGGGGTGTGGCTCCTCCTGAGCCCTGAAGAAGACGTCCACTGAGGACTTGAGACCCTCGAGGAACACAAGCTGCCCACGTTCCCGTGCCGTGGTCAGGCTAACACCCTAAACATGACCAAGAGGAGAGTGAGTTACTACGCTGTGCAAGGGAACCCATCAGAAAGGCTAGACTCCAGCTCACAAGGGGACACAGGACACATTCCAAAGCCTGCACATGTGTACCTGTCCACCCGACATACAGGGCCCATGTCTTCTTTCTTCTGGGTGTTCCCAACCCACAATGCCCGTTCCGTTTTTCAGATGTGCATTTACATTTAACTGTCACATTTCTTAAAAACTTACAATCTTTTTCTTATATATTTATTTTTATGATTACCTAACACCTGTTTTAAATTCATAATAGTAATATAAAGTTTCCTTTTTAAATGCAGGTATTTACAAAATTAAGCAAATTTAAAAACAATAAGTTGGGCCGGCCCTGTGGCTTGGTGGTTAAGTGCACGTGCTGCGATGCTGGTGGCCCGGGTTCGGATCCCGGGTGCGCATCGAGGCACCACTTCTC